TCCCTCCTCTGCTGATTGACAGCAGCAGTGGGTGGGTGCAATAGCCAGCCTGCTTTTGCAATTTAAAATAGCCAACAGCAGGCTGGCTATTGCTCCGAACCACTGGCTGCTATATTTACATTCCGCAGCTAAAGCTATTGAAGTGGAAAGGTGACATAAGGGGTCTAAAAGACCCCTAATGTCACCTTAAAGAGAACCTATCACGGCCAATGTGCTATCACATAGAGGGCTTGTGAGCACCCCATGTGATAGCAATAAAGTTAAGTTAAAAAAAAAAAAGGAGTAAAAAAAAAATACAATTAAAGAAAAATGTTAAATACCCCCCCTAAAAAAAATTAAAGTCCCCTGACCCCGCGAATGTGTGCACACGAACAGAAACACATGTCAGGTGCACCTATGTATGACAACGGCGATTGCGCTACACATGTCAGGTATCGCCACGTGTGGCAGAGTGAGAGCAATAATTCTCAGACCAATATTCATGGCTAACTCTGAACTGATGACCGGGCTTTTATATTTTTATTAACAGTTTGGTTATTTTATTATATTAGCTTGGAGTTTTTCAATGCAGATTGTTTTAAATCCATGAAACAAATTAAATTATCTAATATAATACATACAATAATGGATAAAAATGAAAAAAGGCATTTTTGGTTTCAGCCTGACAAATTCTGCTGCAGGTTGTGCGTTGCATTGCCATTCATTTCTATTTATTTTAATATGTCTTTATTAAAGTTTCAAATATTACAAAGTGCTCAACACTATAACTGATTTTGGAAGCACAGTATGTGATACATACAAAGAGAAAAAACAAAAAAAACATTGAAGTATATAAAAGAGGAGTGCATATCATAAAGCAGGAATGAATAAGGCAATGTATATACACAACATTGCTTTACCTGAGCAGTCTTCCAGCAACTTGCTTCTGAGATCGGACCTGTCTATCGGCAGCTGTTATCCCCCCACACCTGCTCCTCCTTACTACATCTCCCCGCGTCCCTGTGCCAATCGTGGATGTGGGCGGATAGTGTGAGGCGGGAAGGAGGTGCGGCGTGTAGAGCGTGGATGCGGGCGGGTCTGGCAGCGGTGAACGTGAGTTGGGGAGGAGGTGCGGCGCGTGTTTGTGGACCCGTGAACAGGGCCAAATGATCGGAAGCCGATTAATCGATTATTGAAAAAGTTGACAACTTTTTCAATAATCGATTATAATCGATTATGTCGATTAGTTGTTGCAGCCCTAAAAAATATTAAGGGCTTGTTCACACCAAATGCAGACCAGATCTGCATGAGTTTCTGCACATGCAGTGCAGTGGGTTGTGCCGCGTTTTTGATGCATTCCGGCTGTTTTTGGTAAAAAAACACACAAATGTTTTAGTTTAAAATGGGCTCTAGGTGCGTTCCAGGGCGTTTGCATGTGTTTTTGATGCGTTCCAGAGCAGGTAAAACAGGGCTTGCTGCAGTTGTTTTACATGCTCTGGAACTGAACGCTGCGGTGTGAACTAAAGCCCAAAATACCATTGGAATACATTGGACGCAGTTTTGATCTGTTCTGTAACTGCTCTGCTCCTGGAACGCGCTTGGTGTGAACAAGGCCTAAAACAGGAGAAATATCAAATATAGCATCCAAAAAAGTGCACTTCTGATTATGCCACATGTGAGCACCATGATGAAGAGGAAAAAGAAAAGTGGGGAAAAGGAGGGAAGGTTGAAAGGAAGAAAGAAAGAGAAGGAAGAGCCAGTATTTAATTATTAGCTAGTCAGTCACAACAGACAGTAGGGTTTTCATAACCATTTTCCCCAACATTTATAAAAGTATCATATTTATTATGATTCGGGGCAAAAACACGTTCATAAGAGCATTGCAAGCTCACAGACGAGACAACTTCTGATAGATTTGGGGGAGAAGTATTTCGCCATTGGCGAGTAAGCAGTAGTCTAGCTGCAAAAAGAATGTGAAGAACTATGGCTCTAGAGCAGTGGTTCTCAACCAGTGTAACCTCAGGACCCACATTTGTCCATGGCCATTAAGTTGTGACCCAAGTTGCACTGCAATGGAACGCACGGCATTGTGGTACAGATCCACCCAGTCTCCCTATCTTACGAGAACTGGAGTGGCTCTTCTGGCTTGGGGTCCAGTGCGGGCTGCTGTTGCTGTGATGGAGCTCCATCCATGTGTGCATTGCTTGCAGTTCCCTTGCACACCCTGTAGAGGTGCCGGGAGCCAGAATATGACATCACTCCGGTCCAGGCACCTCTGCAAGGCATGCGAAGGAGCTGCAAGCAATGCACATATGGATGGAGCTCCCTCGCGGCCATGGCCCCATCCTACCCCACCTCAAGCTGACACTCGGCACCAGGCAGCATATTTTGAATGGCTGCTTGGCCCGAGAACTGATAGTGCTGAGCTAGGGGGAGGCTGGGGAGCCTTGTCTACAAAAGTGGATGGTATGTGGTGACCCAATGTACAAGGGTCGTGACCCACTTTTGTGTCACGACCCACCAGTTGAGAACCAAGGTTCTAGAGGATATAGAGAAAGCATCAAGCCCAATATGGAGAATTGCCAGTGAAATAGAGGGGTCAATAGGTGTGCATGGAAACTGGGATATGAGTCAAACGACTTGGTTCCAATAGGAAAGTAAAGAGTTACAATACCATAAAATATGGGGAGGAGAGCCAATATCTCCGCATTCCCTCCAGCATTGAGGGGATTGGGGGGTTTGAGAACTCTTATAATTTGTAGGGGGGTGAGATACCATTTATTCACAACCTTTTAATACAGTTCCCAATAATTGGCACATTAAGTGCTCTTCTAAGGCCTCATTCACACACGGATCGGCCTGCACGTACAGCTCCGTGCTGCGTGCGTGGCCGTACTGAGCAGCTGCCGGGAAGGACAGGTGCTGCGTGTGATTAGTACGCAGCCCCCGTCCTTCTCTATGGGGCTACGCAGCCGTACGTCCCCCTACACCGGCCCGCCCTGCACGTTTGTGGGGTGAGCGTATTCATGCGCCGCCGGAATGGATCCTGTATGCGTCCCGGCCAGAAAACCCGCACCCCTGCGTACCTGCATTTGAGGTTAGCGTAGGGGGGCGTACGGCCGCGTAGCCCCATAGAGAAGGACGGGGGCTGCATACTAATCACACGCAGCACCTGTTTTTCCCGGGAGCAGCTGGAGTACGGCCCCGCACGTAGCTGTACGTGCAGGCCGATTCGTGTGTGAATGGGGCCTAAGACTGCTTAAACGCCTCGCGCCATTGGTCAATAGAGTAACTAAGTCCTAGATCTCGTTCCTATTTATAAATCTGACGAGTTTTACAAACAGTTGCTTATCACCCAAACAAGAGTAAAATAACGTAATTTCTTTGTAGGAAACTATCACCAAAAAGGAACTTGTGTATGGATGAGTCTATAGGAACTGATAAAGAGATGTGTTGTTGTTCTACAAGGTGTTATTTGTTGGCATCGGAAGTAGGTTATAACGGGTTGTGGAAAGGGGCCGTGTCATTTATTTTAATGGCATCCCAAACACACCTGCCGCCCACAGTGTGATCGCCCGCACTGGAACACGCGGTTCCACAATGCTGTGCATCCCAGTGCTGTGCAATTGCAAAAATTGTGCATGCAGTTTTTTTGTGAAGTAAACTTTATGTTTGTAGCACTCCATTTGTGTATTTCATTTAAAATAAAAGATGGTATTTATTTTATCCGATTAATCAAAAATAATTGGCCAACTAATCGATTCTGAAAATAATTCGTTAGTGGCAGCCCTAGAATGCACACTGATTTACCAGCTTTACTTGTGTCTTAATACATGGATTCTGGAAAGGTGAGACACAGATGTGATTGCTCATCACTGCCCTGTCTGTGTCCAAATGCAAAATACTAGAGAAAGTATATATGTGACAGCGCTCCCTCCAGCCTGTCCCCTCCTACACTCTAACAATAGAATATCCCTTGGCGCCCTCATTCACTGCATATAGAAAGTGATGATGTACAGGACCTTATAGTGCTGCAGAGAGGCTACAGGGACTGGTCTAAGGACCGATCACATCTGCACGTCACAGGAACGTGCGTCCAGTTTGAGCACATTTTTGTGCTGCGCATTCCCATTGATTTCAATGGATTGATAGACACACGGTAAATGCGGCAAAAAAAGTAATGTAGCATTTGGCTTTTTTTTTGCATTTTCACGCACGCGAACGTGGAGCAAAAACACACGTCTTGCTGGCCGCATTGGAGGAGCCATTAAGAATGAATGGCACCTCAAGCGCATTTGTACGCATTTCTGCAAGTGCGTGCACATACACGCGCAGGTATGAACCGAGCCTTAAAGCCGGCTGGCTCTGAGGTTCAGGTGAGTATAAATTTTTTATTTCACTCCTTAGATGAAAAGGAGCCCTTAACCCTTGCAATATGGGGGTGGCCTCATTGCAAGGGTTAAGAATAAATTTATCCATGTAACAGACTCTTTGTTTTTATGATTTTGGGAAAGCAGTGTGCTATTGTTATAAATATAATCACATTAATACAATGATACCATGTAATGCAAATGGTTGTAAAGGGCTGAAGATGAACTGACAGTTCTGCCTGCTGATAACCCATGGACACGTGACCTGGCTGCTTGTATACACTGATGTCAGTGCATATTTTCACACCTGCACTGATCACACATGCATCCCCTCAGCAGTTCATTAACCCCCTTCCTTGTGTCTCATGAGGCGCTCAGTCCCCTACCTCCCCATCCATAAATTGCCTGTCTGAGGATATAACACCATATACATGTTGTGTCTACTCTTCTCCCTCCCCTCCCCCACCGCCTATTCATGTGTCTTCATACTGACTCGGGCACTCCCCAACGTCCAATGAGCGGCCGCCTTATTAACTCACTCCCGGACTTTACCTCTCACTGCCCTCCGCAGCTCCCTATACAAGTCCTATGAGCCCCATTCACACCCGCCGCAGAGAGCCGAGCCCCGGCACCCCAGGCCGAGCTCCTTACCTGCAGGCCAAGCCGAGCGCCGGTGAGAAAGTCACCCCCTCTCCTCCATGCCCTCTCCAAGATGGCGGCCTGGCTGCTAGGGCGGAGCGACCAATAGGAGCGGGGAATGAAAGGCCGAGTGCCAATTAGCTGCTGCCTTTTAGCCACGTGTGTCCTGAGGTAGAGGATGGCAAGGCGGATAAAGCGGAGACTGCATTATAGGACTGTACGAAACGGTAGCGGAGCGAAAGGGAGAAAAAATAAGGAAACTAAGGAATCTGAGAATTGTGAATTAATATGGCAGATCTCTAGGATATTATCACAGACATTGAGATAATGTCAGAATGCTGAGATAATAACACAGAATGGTGACATAGGAAGGCAGAATTCTGAATTTTAGGATACATTGTACCGGTGACAGAAGGTTTCTATTTAGGTCACATGCACGCGGGGCTATTAGCGGTGGCAAGAACTTGCAGCAGGAATCAGGTAGTTGTGCCATCTAGGGTTAAAGGTGGATAGATGCGGTCATCCTGTCATACACTTGGATGGGCACAGCAGGTGACCTGTATGTAGTGTTGCTACCTGTCCCGGATTCACCCGGACAGTCTGAGTTTTGAGTCCTGTATGTGCTGTTTCCGGGTGTTATGCCAGCTGAAGCACATACAGGACTCAAAACCCGGACTGTCCAGGTGAATCCGGGACAGATGGCAACCCTACCTGTATGGAACACACCTAGGATTCCTGCCACAAGAATAGCTCCCTGTGTATGAAGCGTTAGGCCCCATTCTAATTGAGCTTAAAGTGACACTAAACTCAGGAGTTAAATCTTAAAAATGCATTCAAGAACATTAAAAGAGAATTATGGGGTAACCTTTTATCCCATAGTTCTCTTTAGGGTCACGGGAGGTCCTCCCATGACCCAAGGTTCAGTATGTACTAGTAGTGAGTTATTGCACGCTATATACCCAGCGCACTGCTGCCGGGATGGATCCCGAGAATACTGTTGAGATCCAGCTGGCTCTGCCAATCTAGAGGCTGTGCCCGCCCCCTCCCACGTCCATTCCTCCACTCAGCACTGGAGGATTGGAGAGAGGGCGGGGAGAGGTGACTGACAGTTACTGTTCTGTGCAGCGAGATGATTTGGAAGTTAGAGAGTGACGGTATGTGTTCGCTAACTTCCCAATCTATAGAGCCGACGTGTGACAATGAAACTGTCACACGTCGGCTCTAACTGAGGATGAGTGTAAATCACTCACCTCATAGTTCTTTAACTATTAGCAAAACGGTATCTTATTTGTTTATCACTCAGCTGTAGATCCTCAAATCATCTCTGAATTGGTGCTGACACTGTCCTTCCTTCTGGAGGGTGGCTACTTTTCTTCCTCATGTTCCATGTGTGTGTTGTAAATAGAGATGGGCAAAACGGTTCATCTGCATGAGCGCTCCTAAACGGTTCGCTCACTGAAAAGATCCGGATCTTTTAAATGGCTCATGGTTCACTAAACTGCTCTTTTTACTATAGTAGGAGAGGAAATGAGACGGGGGTGTATTTTGAGGGAGGGAACGGGAGTTATTTTAAAAGTTAAACCATTGCTTTCTGAGTAAAACAAATTTATTTTTATTTTTAAATAATAATTTCACAGAAAATATGATTTACAAGAAAAAACACATTTAAATCCCTTAGGTAGGCTACAGTGTAGAGTCTTCTGATTCGGATCTTTTATGAAGAGTCAGGCAGCTTCTGAGCTTTGGTTCACTTGCGACTCAGCAAGTGAACCGATTCAGTTGAAGATCCGATTCATGTGAAGATCCGAACTTCCCATCTGACTCACGAGTCTTAGGGTCCCCACACACCTTACGATAATCGTACGATAATGGCGGGAAATCCCGCGATCGTACGATTATCGTAAGGTGTGTGGAAGCCGTGCGACCGTTTCTACTGTAAGGTCGCACGACTTTAAACTTACGAACATGTTCGAAAACCCGCCGAGCATCGTACGACGTTCGGCAGGGGTGTGTAGCATGTTCGTAAGATAAAAGCCGGACGGGCCGGTGTGCGCAAGCACACACTGCCCGTTCGGCATTGTGGTCATCGGAAGCCCCGCCCAACAGGGGGCGTGGCTTGCGATCATCGCAAGTACGATCTGCCTGTCCAAGATGTACCTTACAACCCTCGCAAGACAAAAGTATTGCGATGGTTGTAAGGTGTGTGGCCAGCATGAAGACTCCATGTACTGTGAGCCAGAGCTGCTAGAGAGCTGTAGCTAGTTCAGAGATGTGATTGGTTGCAGGGAGGAGGTGGGCGGGGCTGGCAGAAGCTGAGTTCTGCTCTAGAGTCATATTACAATGCCGATCTCCTATTCATTCTACACTGACATTCCTGATATTTCAAAGAACCGAGAACCGGCACTCATTTTTACTGAGCCACCGCTCATTCAGTCATCTGAGAGAACCGCTCAATAGATCCGGATCACCCATCTCTAGTTGTAAAGTTATTCTGACTCCGATTGTTGTGATAGCGATATATCCCTTGTTGAGACCTCTAAGCCTGGCCTGTATAAGCAGATACAATCACTGCGGACAATCCTTGTCAGATAGCTGAACTCACCAATACCGTGTTCGTCCACAAAGGTTGCTTTATTCTGAACGTGAAGACAACAGGATAACAGCAGATGGATGGTTACAGTATTATGCGGTCAAAAAATGATGCCTTTCCTAGCGTACTATGCAGAGTACATGTGTCCTGATTACATGTGGCTGTTAGCTGTTGCTATGACACAGGAAATACTGACAACAAGACGAAGGGTGGGGCTTACATACAGAGGAACTGTCATGGATATCAGGGAAAAACAGGTGCAATATCACGAAAGGCCACTAGATGGCAACATAACTAGATATACAAAACGTCCATAGGAAAAGGTATAGAGAAAACAATCTATATAAAACTTCTATCTAAATAACTTCTATGCCCCATTGGGGCGGCACACTCCCTGTCTGGCATGGTAATGCCACTATGGTAAATCATAACGGTAGTTATGCAAATAAACAACAGTGCAATTTGTGCTGTCTTGAAGATCTGAAAGACATAAAGAAACATGCATATAATGCAATAACAACTATACATATTGAGTCCATACATATAAACTTGTGGCGTGTCCTCTGGACCTGGAATAAAAGAACATATATACAGATGTCCAAATATCAGAGCCTGTGATAACCATCAGCATAGCAGACCTTGATTGCTGAATAGTCCTTCAAATGCAGTAGGTCACTCCGTGGGTGGCAACTTGTAAAGTTCCTTAGTGAAGAAACAAGATAGTCTCTTTGGCAGGCTGAAGGCACTTCAAATAAGTCCATCCCTGGATGTGCATGGTGCACGTAGGTACCTGAAGAACATGGGGCTCATGTAACTCCAGCTGCAAAGTCTCCATGTGAAACAGGCACAGTTTCAATCTTCTGTGTGAGAAGAGTAGCTGGAATAAGGATGGCCGTTAACTCTGAATCTGTAGACACATCACTGCTGATGAATGGATTCAGATTGGCAATGGGGTTGTTTTTAGCAATGTCCTGCTTGTCATGGACACCTTTTATCTCTGTGCTAGAGATGTTCTGTTCTGCATTCTGTAGTAGAATTGGCTCACTTTGAGCAATGTCTTTTGCAGAAAGTGGTTGTTGGCATATGTGCAAGTCCTGACAGCAGGCATCTGTGGGCTTAGTATTATAGCAGTGTGTGGTATGGACTAACCTTGCAGTAACGCGGTCAGGCCTTGTCCACTTTGTGAAATGACAGTCCAAGACGAATCTTTCTTCACTTTTGGTGACAAGGGTTTTGACGTCAGGACGAATCTCTAGATCTCTGTTATGATCTAGAAGACTGACGACATCAGCTGTAGCTTCTTCTGGATGATCCAGCAGGAATTCAGGACCTGTTGACCAAGAAGAAATTGCAAAGACACTGGCAGACACTGGCCTGGTGGCATGATCTGCAGCATTGATTTCTGATTGAACATAATGGCCTTGTTCAGGGTTAGATGCTAACTTAGCTTTGCCAAACAGAAACCCTATGTGGGTTTGATTAGAAGAGTCTCTCACCTTGAGGTAGGAAACAGCCACTATGGTCTCAGTAGATGCATCTGAGAACATGTGAAGCTCCTTTCTCCGCCTTGCAGCAAGGGAAGCTGAAGTGTAGCAGCTTGACATTTGAATGTCATGTAAAGTATGTAGAGGTTGCTGTCTCTGTAAGGATTTACCTTGTATGGTGATGGGAACCACAAATCCCAGTGGATCGTATAGGCCGCTCATCACTGACAGAGCACCACATTTGGCAAATGGCTTATCTGCAGAGCTGACTTGAAAGCCGAAGGTGTCTTTTGATAGGTTCCACCGTAGGCCCAGACTTCTCTGTGCAGGTGACATGTCCATTCCCAGATTTAAGTCTTTAAACCCTGTGGCATGATCGCCAGGTTGAAAGGCTTTCATAACAACAACATTGTTTGAGACAGTCTTATGGTGTCTAAGGTTGGTTTCAGAAAGCATACCTTGAGTCTTTGGTAGCAGGTCTAATGCTTCTTCATGAAGAGGAGAATCATCTTGCATGATGACTGGTGTAGAAGACTCAGATGAGTTTCCCAAGAGGTTTACTGCTTGTGGAGTTACTGGAGTGATGGTTGAGGAATCAGGTGCATTGTCCTGGGTGCTTGCATCATTGGATTCCTGCTCTTCCGAGCTGTTGAAGGAAATCTGGCGCCTAGTCTTACCAGAACTATTGCAGGGTGGTGTAGTGATGTTGTCTCGGTTTACCTGCACGATGATCTTACTGGAGCATACACCATCTGAGGCATGAGGTTCGCAATCTCGTTCGACTCCAAAAAGTACCCAACCTAAATCAGTCTTTTTGGCATAAGGATCATCATTCCAGCCATTGTGCTGCTGACGTACCTTGTGTACTCTCAGGGTGTCTCTGCCTAAGAGAAGCATAATTTTGGCATCGTTGTCAAGTGGAGGAATGCAGTCAGCTAAATGTTTTAGGTGAGGTTCACGAAGTGCATCCTCTGGTGTAGGAATCTCCTCCCTGTCATTAGGCAACTGATTGCACTCAATGAGACTAGGAAGATCAATCCTCTCCGTTCCTTTTATAGGAGAAAAGATGAATTCAGCATTGGCGGTTCTTCCTGTGAGTTGCACTGTACCAGCA